GTAAATATCTCATCTAGTTTGAGATCAGTCTAAATAGTTTTTCATCTGAATAAATATGTGTAATCTAAGAAAAGGTAATTTAAAAATATGTTTTGTCTATTAAGGGGTTGTGATGATTCAGAGATTATCGTAATATTATCTCTGACTCGTCTTTCATGTGATTAAAATTAGATCTAAGGCGCCTCCTGTTCATTCTGACAGCAGCTGTCTGAACTCTGGTCTGATCCAAGATGGCCGCCCTCTAGGCACGTCGGCCAGCGTCCAGTGAGGCGTCTACGTTTATAATGTCTATGTGTGCAACCTTTTTTCTTTCCATTTGGATTTATGGCTATAAAAACTAAGCCGCATTGTTTGTCTCGGATATCTGGATAAATCTCACGGTTATTGGAGGCTCATAAAATCTATCATTTCTTATTCTTTTGCTATTCCTTATTTTCATTTCTGAAAGGTGGCGACTCTATAATCTCAGAATGAATAGAAATCTAAGGCTGTTGTTTAAGATTTTTTCACGTCAAACGTAAAAAAATGTTTGGAGGTTTTTGTAATGTGACAAAAAAACTCAATATGAGACGATGGCAAGTTAAAACCTATTAAATCGATGTATAATATCAGCAGACTTCAAAAACATCTAAGGGAAACAACAGTTCAGTATTTACAGGCAGTGGCGGCTGGTGGAGTTAAACAGCAGTCTATGGGTGAGAGGCAGAGTCAACTTGGACAGGTTGCAAGTTGAATTCTGTTCTATTCAGTCTGTCACAGAGCAACACAGACACACAACTAATCACACCTGCGACGATCTAGAGAAGCTGATTAACCTAACAGTCCTGGTCTTGGACAGTAGGAGGAAGCTGGAGTACCCTGAGAGAACCCGCGCATGCATAGGGAGAACATGATAACTCCATGCAGAAAGCCCCTGAGCAGGGAATCGAACCCAGAACCTTCTTGCTGCGAGCTATAATTGCAACAAACTGCGGCACCGTGCAGCCCTAGATAGGATCATCTAAAGTAAATGCAACTTTCTACCATGTTTACGTCTAAAAAGTTAAAATAAAATAAAACCATTGCTCACCAAAGTATTTGTGCGTAAACGTCTGCAATCCATCCTGCACCACCTTCTCCAGACCAGTGTCCTGAGCAATCCATTCTGTGTTCTCCAGCTTCCAGACCAACGCTAGCGTCGTCATCACTGACGTGTGGAGGTCGAGCGGCTCCAGCAGTGACCTTGAAAGCTCCCTTCTCCGTGGACTAATGTGAGCGGTCACAGCATCAATGCCCTGTTTCTCAGTCAGAGTGAAATTATAGTACCCTGTTAGGAGCTCGCTGAGGGCCGGGGGCTCCTCAGATGCCGGTAAGTTGCTGAGGTGCATGCCCAGTATAACTCCATCCATGCCACCGTTGATTAGAGCGTCAGTGGCAAGAGTAGCAGGACGAGACAGCTTAAACACCTTCGGCTGCTCCACGCTGTCCCAGCAGCCGTTGGGCCCCAGACGCAGAGATGGTGGGATGTCCTGGAGGCTGAGGAATGACAGGCCCAGCGTCCTGCCAAGGGTTAAAGCGAAGATCCCAAGAGCTTCCGTTCCCTCCATCTTGGCTTTCAGTCCCGATTCAATCCCTAAAAGTAGAGGAGCCAGAGCGACTGTGGTGCCATCAGGAGCAAGGACCACCCCCCTCTCCTCTCCATGGTCAGTCACTATGTGGTGGATAGCCTTGTCAAAGAAGCTGAAGGATGTGGTATTTAGGATGCGTCCCTCTAAGCCTTCTGTTTCACTCAGGTTATATGACGCTCCCAGGAAATGGATGGTCATCGGATCGTCATGGCCGGCGGTCCTCCGCAGAGCTCTAACCAGAGCCAGAGGTGACAGACCAGGGTAGAAGTCTTCAACCTGCTGCACAGCTTGGATGAAGCTCTCCATGTTGCGTAAGTGGACACCTGAAAGAGATGCAACCAGTTTAAAATCTGGAAACTAAACATTTTTCATCACTGTGTTACAAAATCACAGATTACTAAACTGGGAAAACTGGTCTGATCTATAAAGTAATTTCTGGTTTCTGACCTTCCTGTCATGGTTTTGGTTCTTTTTCAATTTGATCTTTGAGTTTTCATGGGTTTTATTTCCATTTTGTTTTCTGGTTATTTTTGATTATATTTAAGTTTTTAGGTATTTCTTGTTTGCCCTCTGCTGCCCTCTTGTGTCAGTCTCCTTCTCCTCGCTCCTTCCTGACTCCTCTGTTCACACGTGCTCCCAATCTGCTGATTCATCTGCTCTTT